CACTTAAAGTAGGATGAGTCCCCCTCCCAGATTTCACTTGTCCATCTTACTTTAGCCATGGGAACCATGGTAAAATTGAACTACATTGAAACCATGAATTAAAGTGTGCTCATTTGCTGCTGCTGGTATTATTATTATTTTGGTACCAGGGATACAACCCAGGAGTGCTTGACCCCTGAACCACAACCCCAGAACTTTTCACATTTTATTTAGAGACAGGGTCTCCCTAACGTGCTTAGGGCCTCTTTAAGTTGCTGAGGCTGGCCTCAAACTTGTGATCCTTCTGTCTCAGCCTCTCAAACTGCTGGGATTATAACTATGCACCACTGCACCCAGGCCACTTTACAACCCCTGTGACTTATGTCCCTCTCTATGAAAGGTGCAGTCTTTCTAATGTTGTTTGATTTGAACAGCGTGTTAACCAAATACCATCACATTGCTAAGAGCCACAGGTTAGGAGGCCCCTTGACTACCCTGCAGGGAAGCAGAAAGTTTCATCCTGGTCCTGAGCCTCTGGGCTCTTCTGTGCTAGACAGGTGTGAGTGGCAGGAGTGATGGCTGGGAGAGGACATGCTGGACAATTTCTTTTAGCTCATTTTTATAAAGGGTTCTTATTCACCAGAACTCATTCTAGTGTCAAGGAGCTATTAACACAGAGGTAGCTACATACTTTTAAAAATCACATATTGTCTGATATTTAAGTGAGTAATTTTTCTGTATTGGATGCATGATTTGCTGATACATTATGATGTGATCTGAAATTTAGATGGAGGATGGGCACAGTAAGCCCAGGGTTTGGAGGCTGAGGCAGGAGGATTGTGAATTCAAAGCCATCCTCAGGAAATTATCAAGGCCCTGGGCAACTTAGTGAGACCCTGTCTCAAAATAAAAATGAGGGGGGGGGGCTCAGGCTGTGTATCAGTGGTTGAGGACTCCTGGGTTCAATTATTCATAGGAAAAATAAACTCTTTGCACACAGGTGGATAGATTCAGAAATACGTAATTGCTTCTGGTTCTACACCATTTCTGTTGTTGAAAGTATTTTTTCATATTCCTTCATGCTCTGGATAAAGGAGACTTATTTTTCATTCTTCTACTGTGCAGGTTTTTCCTTCAGACAAATAAGAATTTCTGGCCATTTTAAAGCAACAATGAACTGGGATCTTAATTTCTGAATATTTTTGAAAACTCCTGACTTCTTCTCATTCCTACTTTTCCAAAACTTTCATGTTTGCATGACTACATATTTTGAAGTAAGACTGAAAATCATGTCCTTGAATGCTCTGATTTGCAGGTGATTTAAACATGTTACTGAAAGGATTTTACAGTGCTGTGTGCTTGCCTTGAACATGTTTTAACATGAATTAAACACAATAAAAGCAAAGTCTCCATTTCACACAAATGGTATAAGAGAACACAATTTTAGAACTAAAATTTAAAATTTTTATTTTAAAATGTTGTACATAAACTATTATACTTAAACATTGATATTTAAGTTATTCTTTAAAGCTTCATCAGTATAAATGTTACCTACATAAAACAGTTGTTATAAGAACAGATGTATGTAATTTTATGTATAAAGATGTAAGGGAATAACATCTGTTCCTGTGATCATGTGTGCCTTGTGGAAGACCTTCCTAGTGTCATTTCTGGGCTTGTCATGGTAGCAAACCTGAATATATTGAATAAGTGAAAGAATAAAATTTTATTTTTCCTGATCACCACATTTGGGAAAAGAAGAACTTTTTTCCTACTGGTGTAGAGAATTTCCCTTTTAGACAAACACTGCATGTTCTTACTCATGTACGAAACCTAAAAAAGCATTGCACACACTCTCCAAGAAATATTGTTCTAGCAGATCATTCAACAAATTCTCCAGCATAAATTTCAGTCTTGGGCATTTGATTCCAGAAAAATGTCACCTTGCACTTGTAATAAAGATAACATCTTAGAGCTCATCTTTCAGGAACGGGCCAGACACGTGTCCTTTAATTAAAACCCTGAAACACCAACTCTGTTTTAAAACAGCACCAAGTCTGTTTTAAATGTAGTTCTATTTACTACTCTGATTGCAAAGTCTTGGAAAGGAAAAAAAAAAAAACTATGCTCTTGGTAATATTTCCAGAATGTTCTAACAGAGGCTAGCTATTCTGGCTGGATAATGAACAAAAATGTGACATGTGTAGCCACCTCATAGGATTCCAAGGACAGTCATAAATTTTCGTATCCTCAGAACAGGATTGTGCAAATGTTCTATTATGTTGGTTTTTCTATTTTTTTTTTAAACTGGAGTTTGAACACAGGAGGAATTAACCACTGAGCCACATCTCCACCCTATTTATATATTTTATTTAGACACAGGATCTTGCTGAGTTGCTTAGAGCCTGTGTAAGTGGCTGAGGCTGGCTTTGAACTCACATCCTCCTGCCTCAGGCTCCTGACCTGCAGGGATTACAGGCGTGCACCCCATGCCCTGCGGTAATTTCTTTCTTTTCTTTCTTTTCAGGCAGGGACACAGCTGATCTGTTATTAAAAGAACTGCATTAATTCTCCCAAGTCTTGTGCATGAAGAACTGTATGATAATAAGATTACAAGCCAACATTTCTGGAGAGTTCATTATATGCCAAGAACACTTCCAAGTTTGGTAGGCACACTTTACTTTTTCCCACATAGTCTCTGCAGAATTCACATAACAGGACTCTTTATGTGGACAGCTGAGATGACTGGACCTCAGCATCCCAGGGTGCTTAAGAAGAAGCTATCATAAATGGGAGCTCCAACTCTCAACTTCAACCAGTCTGACATCAGCGTTCACACCAACATTTACTTGTTTATATATTACAAACATTTGGTCTGGTAGGAAATAAGCCAGAGTTAACATGGTGCTGACATGAAGCAAATCCATGCAGGTCTAGTCTGTGGACAGTCATGTTTGGGAGGGTCTCACTTCCAATTTCTTGTAATCACCACCCCCTGAAATTTGGCCCAACTTGTAGACCTCCTATTATGCACCTGACAGACAAGATCAGGAAAAGGCAAATCATGTAAGCTCCTGTCTTGCCCCAGACAACCTCAGACATGAGGTAATAGGAAGGAAATATATGCTAAAATAGATGCCACTTCTTTTGAGCCATGATTTATAAAAATCATTGGATCTTCTTATTTTTCACTTTGGGACAGGTTCTCAGGAAGTTGCTGATGTCCTTGCTAATCTGCTGACATCAGCATTGAACTTGCCATTGTCCCATCTCAGCCTCCGGATCCACTGGGATTACATGAGTGCACCAGGGCACCTGGCTGACAATTCTTAATGTACAAGAAAACTGAAGTATCAATATGTATGACACTGTGGAGGTCCCAGTGAGATTGGAAGGTGTTGAGATAAGGCAGTGTGTGGAGATGTGTTCTCCAGGGTGTGAATAGAACCTAGTTTTCTTTCTTTATTTTTTAATTTTGTGCTGAGGGCTGCTTGGTGGGTAAGTGCACCAGCACCAAATTACACCTGGTCTTTTTGACTCTGTATTTTGAAACAGGGTCTCACTAAGACGCCCAGACTGGTTCACCCTTGGGATCCTCCTGCCTCAGCGTCTTGTGTCACTGGGATTTCAGGCAGACACCACTGTGCCCAGCACCAGAACTGAGTTTTCTGTGCAATAAAAATATAGTTGGATGAATCTTTTTTTTTTTTTTTTTGGAAGTGGTGTTCATTTGAGATTGAGGAAGGAGGTCAGATTTGCAAAAAAAAAAAAAACAAAAAAAAGACATTTTCTTTGTGTTACTCTGGTCACAATATTTTTCCCCCATAAGATGAACAAAGCCAACAGAATGTACAGTAATATTCACATAAGAAACACCATGTACACCGTGACTGGTGTTGGGATCATGGCCAACGCCCTTCTTCTTCTCGTCCACATCTCCTTGCACATTACTGGGCACTGACTGATATAAGCCCACTGACCTGCCCATTGGTCTCCTGGTCCTAATCCACCTGGTAATTCTGCTCATCAATGGCTTCATAGCTTTGGACATTTTTATACCTCAGGGGGGCAGGTGGGATGACCTGACGTGTAAATTGCTCATCTACCTGTACAGGTTGATGAGGGGCTTCTCCATCTGTGCCACCTGCCTGCTGAGTGTCCTCCAAGCCATCACCCTCAGCCCCAGGAGCTCCTCCTTGGCAAGTTTCAATCATAAATCCTCACTTCACAATCTGTGTTTCCTTCTCTTCCTGTGGTCATCTACTCATCCTTCAGTAGTCATCAGTTCAAATCCTGACTTTCCTCACGTATTTCCTCTGCAATCCACTGACTTAATTTATCCGAGTTTGGTTTTCTTTGCTGTAAAGTGGGGGATCATAATACTACTGCATCCAGAGAATCACTACGGAAATTATGAATTAATACATGATGTCTGTGTACACAGAGGTGAGCTGCTACTCTTGCTTTTTCAATGTCACATGAATTATAAATTGCATGTTATCCTTGGTCAGGGACCATGCTAAAATCATAATGATTTTAGCAAACAGACAAATAATCAAAAACACACAGAGATCAAGTCTTCCCGTGCAAGAGGTCAGGAAGGTTTGTAGGTCTCAGATTGGCTCAGAACAGACTTGAAACTGATGGAACTTTTTGTGATATTTATAAGACCCTCTCAGATCAAAAAAACAAAACTATTCTTCCAAAATGCATTTATCCAGCAAAGGGTTCACAGTCATGGTCTACTTATGGACAAGTTAGGGTATCTGCTTTAGGTAAGCTCAGTAAGAAAACAGCCCATATATCATTTAACACTTTTTTTTGCAACTAGGAATTCAACCTAGGTGCATGTGACCTCTGAGCCACATCCCCAGAACTTTGTATTTTTGTTTTTTAATTTGGACACAGGGTCTCACTAAGATGCTTAGGGACTCACACAGTTGCTGAGGCTAGCTTTCAACTTGAGATCTTCCTGCCTCAGCCTCCTGAGCTGCTGGCATGACAGGTGTGCAACACCTCACCTGGTGTGATAAAGATCTTACAAAGAACAACACAAGTTTCATCTCCCTCATCCTCCTTTAGGTTTTTATTTTTTCCAACATCAACTAATTTTTGGAAACTCAGGTGGAAATAACGTGTAATTACACAGTGAGAGGTTATCTGGTCGTGCATAAACATGTCCTCGTCCTCCCTGGTGTGGATTGGAAGAAGTGGATTATTCGTTTTTCCTGTACTAATCAGCATCAAAGCACTGACGGTGGTATAGCCATTGCCCACCAGCATCTGGAACACAAGGCGAACCAAATCCTCCTTCTGCATTTTACCATAAGAGGAGGAGATCACGCAGTCCAAATAGTACATGACCACAAAGGAACCCATGAGGAGCAGGATGGTCCTAGTGGCCCTCTGCTCTGGGGAGGCTTGTGGAATCCTGCTAGTGGTGTGGAGGTGCTGGCACTGCCTCTTATGCCTCCACAGGAGAGCCACCATGTACCCACTGGAGAGGGCCATGAGCCCGAGAAGGAAGATGTCCCAGAGTATTCCTACCAGGGAAAATAAGATCCTGAAACAGTAACCTGTTGGAGATTCCCTACAGGATTCAGTGGAAAACCAAACATCTAATGTGTCATTGGAGGAGCCTCCAATAGAGACTAAAATACGAACATTAATGAACATGTTGAACACCCAGAGAATGAGAAAGCACCGCAGACTCTGCTGTGGGGACATGTGCTTGAACTTCTGGGGCTGAGGGTGGTGGCCTGCAGGACACTCAGCTGGCAGGTGGTGCTGACTGACAGGCTCCTCATCAGCCTGTACAGGTAGATGATGGCTTTACATGTGATGTCATTCCAAATATCCTGAACCCCCAAAATGTCTATATCCAGGAACACCCTGATTATGAGCATCAGCAGATGAATCAGGCCCAGGTGAGCGATGGCCATGTCTGTGGGCCTGGTCCTGCCCTGGACAAGGAACATGAAGATGTAGAAGAGGAGGAGGAAGACGTTGGCTGTGACCCCAAGGACAATTTGTGAAGAAAATACATTTCTTACAGCAAGATAAATGGAAAGTGTGCTGCTCTTGGTCATTTTCTTTTTTTTTTTTTCTGGTGAAAAGACATATAGAGTCCATGTCAGAGGATCAAATAAAGATAAAATTTTAATCATCACAGTGGTTACCAGCTTCAACCTCCCCAACCACCAAGTTGGCCCACCTCAAAGTATTTGGGCACTTTTTTAATGCACCCTTCCCAAACTCTCAATATGCAAGCATAACATATTTTCTGTTTATCTCCACTGATAGGGCCAGGATTAATTTGTCTTGGCATGTTCAGTAACCTGGTAAAAAGCTCAGTAGGTAGCATCCAAAGTGAGTTCAGGTGGGACAGATGGCTGGAATGTCCACATAGAACTCTCAAGAAAAGTGTGTGGATGCTGGATGAAGCCCCATAAAGTTCTATGTTTTCAGTGTTCTCTATTATGGATTGCTCATCACCAGTTTAGAGACAAAATATGAAAAATGTTAGCTCTGAACTCAGACTTCTTGAATTTGTTCATATATATATTTGGTACCGGATATTGAACCCAGTTTTACATAACCACTGATATTATTTTATTTGTATTTGATTATGCCAGAAAAAAAAACATATCTAAGTGGGCAGAACTATCCATTTTTAGCAGGATTTAATTCCAAAATTTCTTTTCTGTCCACTCTTTGGCATATGGAGAAATGGGGAAAAGTAATCATGATTTATATGTGTGTGTGTGGGGTGTTTTAACCAGGAATTAAACTCAAAGGTGCTTAACCACTGAGCCAAATCCATAGCTGTTTTATTTTTTTAATATTTATTTTTTAGTTGTAGTTGGACACAATATCTTAAATTTATTTTTAATTTTTATGTGGTGCTAAAGATTGAACCCAGGTCCTTTCACGTCCTAGTCTAGTGCTCTACCACTGAGCCAGAACCCCAGCCCCTTATTTTTATTTTGAGACAGGGTCTCACTAAGTTGATGAGGCTGGCCTTGAACTTGAAAACCTCCTGCCTCGGTTTCCCAAGCTGCTGGGGTAACAGGCATGCAATGCACCAGCACACCAGGAAAATCTTAAGTACTTTTGGGGTCAGAGTATTAAGTGTTTTAATTAAGAGAAAGGAATCCAAATTCACTCTGATAATGGAGTTTACATAGGAGAACAAGATTTCTTATCTTCTTTTAGTAAGCAATGATATTTCTCCAGACAGAGAGAAAATAGTGTAATAGAAAATTTGCTGGTGACAATCTCATGGTATAGCTCCCTATAGGATGAAGGTATTTTATTTATTTCCATCTTAATTCTGCTTTATAGCTATGAAGCATATAACATTTACACTGTGGTGAGCAACATATCCCCCTATTCTATCATCTACAAAACAAGTGAGTAAGACTATCAATCACTCCCACAGCTACCTAGAAAATTATAGTTTGATAACATCAGTTATGAAGTGTGATAAAAAACAACAAGAATTCCAGACAATTGAAGTGTTTGATCCTAGTTAAATGATTGCTATGAAATCTTTGCAAAAGTGTCATTGTAAATAGTGGAAATTAATTCATGACACTAGGAAAATTTAATCTCTCCCAAATGATTCATTTGTAAGGAGTGTTTTTTTTTTCTTCATTCACACATTCGGGTAAAGAAGATTTCCTCCCTTGTTCTGCTCAAGAAAACAAAAAGAAAAAATGGTAATATAATGGTCTAGGAGTCTCCACATTTGAGGAGTCACAGATGGTTATTAGTAGGCACAGCACTACAGGTAGCTATGGGTCGATGATGCCTACTCCTGTGTGCACACTTGAAGTGAGTGGTAAGATGTACACTCACATTTTGACCCCAAAATACCTTTACAGCAATGTTAACTGGATATGTAACAATTGAAGAGGCCTTTAAAAAATTACAGAAAATGAAATAACGATGATTCCCTTCTATCATGTTATGAAATACAGGTTTGTCTTCAATCCAGTTTAATGCAGATTAGAAAATAAAATGGAGAGCATCAAAAACAGGAGAAACAGGCTACCAGATATATCTGTGGATGGAGGGCACAGGACTCTGATTTCAGCCCTGCCAGGGTGGGGGGGGCACCCTACATGCATTGTCATGGGAGGGACAGAGCCAGGAGGGGACATGGACTTGCAAACACAGGTAGAGAACTGTGTTTTCCAGGGAGTATTGCCTGAAAACAACTGAAAAATTACTCTTTTTTTCTATAGAAGAAATTCCCTGGTTACAGGTGGAAAACCTTATCATTTTAGTAAAGTGCTGATCATGGGAAGTGGCAGGGTCGGATGCTGTCACGGGTCCCCCACAGGCATTAGTTCGCTGCAGCCCCAGGACACAGCAGGCAGAGAAGAAGCTGGCTATGTGCACACTGTGCATGTCACACACGTGTGTATCAGTGAGAGCCACAGTGCCCTCCATGGTTCACAGATAGATTTCTTATAAAGAATGCAATGTTTCTACTTCTGTGCTAATTTATCAGTTTTGTTAGAAAACATCCTGAAAATGTGTACATTTCATAAAAGCAAGTTAAAAGGAATCCTCTGAGCCTGTCCGCTCCCAGCTTTTCCTCACCACACTCACACCTGCCAGAACTAGTCCGACCACGAGATCAGGGTGCAGACAGAAACCTGTCCAGCACCAGGATGATCCCAGACCCTCTCCACAGCTCTGTGGAGAGAGGGGCTGCAGCAGCTCCTGGCTGCCCTGATGGGCCAAGCCCCAGGTCATGACTTGAACCCTGGTGGAAACAAGCTCCCCTCAGACTGGAAGTTCTGAATATGATGACATAAATCCAAAGAGAATAATGTGAAAAAGAAGTTCAGGGACAGGTCCCAGTGAGGGAGGTCCCAGTGGGGAAGGACTAGGAGGTCTAAGAGGGCAGATTGGAGGAGAAACCTAAGTGGAAAACAAAGGAGAATGGAAATCTAGTCCTTTCCTGCCCTGACAAAGGAGCCATCACTTAAATATTTCACATTCTGCCACTGTCCAAGTCGTGGACAATACAGAAATACATGCCAAAACCAGGGGTCAGAGACTAGAGAACAATCCCGAAGTTGGTGCACCCCAGTCAGCAGTGAGGAAAGCAGATCCACAGCACCTTGGGCTTCTAGGACATGTGTGTGGAGAGACACTGGCTGGAGGGAGGGAGGGGGACATAGCTGCTTTCTCAGGTGCACCATGGGCACCATCCTGTAAATACTGTGATTTGCATCCTTACTTCCTGATGTGCATTCCATACATGAAAGGGCATATGTCACTTGTTGTTATCGCACAGATCAAGTTCACCATCACCTCTCCACTATCATCCTCTTTCTCCTTGAGGACCTGGAGGGAGGACACCATGGGACTTTTGGAATCCAGGAAGGGGTGGTCACTACTGTCCCTTTGTTGTGATATTAAGAAACTGCACACCTAGTCCCTGCTCCAGGTCAAAACCTTCAGGCAGCCAGAGCACCATCGGTTTACTTTTGTGAGATCAAATTGGAGACAACATACATCAGCATATGAAAATGCTATTTGCTATTTCTCTAAAACGTGAGGATAAACTTTCTTGATAAGTATTGTATTTGAAAAAAAAAACATATAATTTCCTTCTGATCAATTAAAAGGTATTTTGGTATATATTATTATTTCTAACTATCTCAGAATTAGATGAAAATTTTGGATTTGGATTGAGTTTTTGAGAAAAGAGAAGGAAAACCAAGTGTATTTAATTAAATTCTGGGGTTAACATTTATCTATTCCTGGGTGAACAGGAATATGGATTCATAACGCTGAAGCAGAAAATAACCAGCACACTTATTAATATGCCCTTTGAAAACCAGTAGCACAGCAAATTAAACTCCCTGTAGTCTGAGAAATGGATAGAAACCGAAAATGATTTACTTAAAATATTTTTTCTTATTAAAAATTAACAAATTTTCATGAGTCACCAAATTAACGGGCACAATCTAGTAAGAAGAAAATTCTCCTCTGAATTCTAGAGTAAACCGTCCTCTGAGCTGTTGAGAGGGGGAAGAGATGGATGCATAATTTAGAGCTATGTTAGAACCTAAAATATCATTTGGTTATTTTGATCCTTCATCACAGCCACAGAAGCCCCCTCACACACTGGTGCTGCATCTCAGGAAGAGAAAGGCACTTACCTGGGCAGGTCGCATGGGGAGTCAGGAGACCTGAGTGGATCCTGCACTGTTTTAAGGAAAAGACATCTTTAACTCACCTCTCTGTGGGGCTTTAATTTTAGCTTCTGCAAGAAGGTGACAAGATCCTACTGGAGATCACAGAACCGTGGCTTCCCCCAGTGGAACATGTCACCTGACTCTTACTTTTACTTTAGTCTCTGGTGGATAGTAGCAACCTGGGGAGAATCGAACTCAAAACTTTTCTCCTAATTCCCTGGACACATCTGTGTGATGGATCTGAAGGCTCCCAATCATGTAGCCCACAAGCATTCTCTCCATTTTTAAATCCCATATTCAAGTTAGTTCAAACCCATGTCATATATTGTAACACTTTTACTCTGGAATGGATGGTTCCTGGCTCCTCCCATGGATTCCAAGTGGCTCTGGGGGTCCTCTCTCTAAAATGTGAGACCATCTTTCTTCATCCACTCTCATACTGACCATGTGGTTGGGGTAATATGCCTTCTGGGATTTTTAAACTCAGCCCCAGGATTTCACTTCTGTTTCAGGTTAATAAATATAACAAAATATCTATTTTTACGATAGCAAAAGAAGCAAAAAAAAACATTTTAAGACAATTTATTTTCATTCTTCAGGAATTCTCGAGGATCAACTCTTCAAAAAAAATATGGTGCTGGAAATGCTGGCCATCCATATGTAGAACAATAAAATTTAACCACTATGCCTCCTCACCCTGCATAAAACTCAACTCAAAATGACCAAGGACCTAGGTATTAGACCAGAAACCCTGTGTCCACTTGAAGAAAATATAGGCCCAACTCAGTATCATGTTGGTATAGGAACAGACTCCGTTAGCAAGATCCCTAAAGAGCAAAAGGAAAATCAAGAATCAATAAATAGGAAAC